CCTCTGATCTCTCTCTCTCTTTCTTTCTCTATCCCCCATCTCTCTTTCAGCTCAGTGAGCCGGGTGAAATATCTTTCTGACTAAATGATTTTTTTTTTTGCACTGTGGGAAGGTTGCCATGGAGACTGCGGCTCCCCCGACCCCCACCCCTCAGCGCGCGTTGTGCTAACTGGAGTGTCTTCACCTCAGCAGCGTCTCCGGCTGACTGTGCGCTTCTCATGCTGCTCGCACTCGGCCGATGTGTTGCAGGTGTCTCGGTGTGCATGTATACCGGATCGGCACCTCTTCCTCTGTTTTCTCTTCGTTCTTATATTTTCATCCTTACAAACCCTGCATGGCCACGGAATCATTTTTAAGGAATGTCCCGGGTTCAATGCAAGCTCAGTCGTTAGCATTTGTGGCATAATGTTGCTTTCATTCATAAATTAATGAATGGTTGAAACACGGTAGTAATGGGGCGGGGGATATTTTTTATTTTTTTTAATAAAGCATAAAGAAATAGTACATTGAAGGCACTTCTGGGAAGTAATAATTATTTGCAAGTAATATTTTAAAATATGCACACGTGCACTTTTATTTGCGTGCCTAAAATGTCGAAAACGCAAAAATAGTACTAGTCACTGGTCAACACGGCAAAATCTGCATGTGGAAATCTTTTACTCTCAGGCGAAATGACCTAGTTTCACCGGCGAAAATTCGCCGTGACTGCAAAGGCTACATCGTCATAGTAAAGAAAATTAAAGGCATTAAAACGAACTTTTTTCTCAGTTAATGAGAATGCAGACAGGAAGTAGAACGAATTATTATTTCGTACGCACGATTTACTTTTTTCCCCTTTATGTCATGTGCGCCGGTACTCCATACTTTTCTGTGTAATGGTAAACTTTTTTTTTTTGCTTCTGAAACTGAGAATTTTAACATTTACAGTATGACCCCATTCACGTTTATTGTAAGTGCATCACTGTAACCCAAGTCTACATACATTTTTGAAGTGAACATCATGCCACAAGTGTCAGTGGAGCTTAACTTGCATTGAACCTGAATTAAGGAATATTCATTTAATTCCATCCCCCTAATAGTTTTTCTCCAGCTATTCTCAAACATTTATCCTCTTATCGCTCTTTTCATATAGTTCGACCTGGGGCCAGCTGCATAAACTGCTTAGAATATAGTAATATTAGAAGTCAGTCATTTACTTTTTTTAAAGACTAGTCATTACTTTTTTGAAGTAAAAAATTGATTGGTCAAATTTGATAATTTTGGTCAGACTAGTTCTTAAAGGGGTCATATGATGTTGCTAAAAAGAACATTATTTTAATACTGTCTTTTTACGCGTTGCATCGCGCCTTGTCTGCATTTGTGATCGGAGAAATGACAAACAACAAGCGCTACTCTACACTGCTCAAAACTCGCGTTTGAATCGTCAGTGGGATATTCTTTAACTATAAAAAACGTACTTACAGTCTTTGAGTCAGAACAGCCGGCATTGTAGTCTACTCTACCAGGATCAGGAAACAGTCCTCCATAAAAAGCTCTGGACACATCTGAATATTTGGGTTGAAGTGTTCTGGAACAGTGTTGTAAATACAACTTAACCACTGATTTCTAGTCGTGTCCTCTTTTTCTAGACCAAACAAAGTAGTTTCGCTTTCACAACGAAACACACGGCGGGCTTGAGTGAGCGGCGGCCGGAGGGCTAGAGTGAGCGGTGGCGGGGGGGCTTGAGAACGGCGCGGCCGGCGGGTTTGTGGCAACCACATGTGACGACCCCGGGCTGGACTCCGCTTCGTCCACGGTGAAAGCTGATCCGGCGATCCACAGCGCGAAGTTGATGTATTTCCTCAGCGACCAGCACGGATCAGCTCTAGGGCTGCAGCGTCAACAATACTACAGCGAGAATAAAAGTTACGCTTTCTTTCTTTGCGTGAACATTTGGGTTGCGTTATGCAAATCTTCCCACATCGTGACGTAGGTATGTGGGGGCGTGTTAGAACGAGCCGTTTTAGGTAGGCGTGGTTGACTCTTAACTTTTATAAAGAATATCTCTTTGGATTTGAGACTTTAGTCTTTGCAACTTTACAGATCTTCTTTATGCACCAAGAGCTTGTAACACTTCAAAGAGAAAGGAAAAATTGAAATCGCATCATATGACCCCTTTAAGATACTGTCTTAATGGCTGTGTTGATGAAACTGTCTCCTGTTCTCTTGTCAAGATTTACCCCCTGCTCTTCTCCGTAGCACATTTGTAGTCTTCACCACATGCGCTAATTCCCTGCACCTCTGTCTCTCTTCCTGTATCTGTGTGTGTCAGATAGTGCTGACTCTGGCTGTTCCGCGTACAGTGAGACTCAGATGAACAGTGCATTAGACTCACATGAATGTGACTCTAAGAAGTCAAGATGGATGTCGAAGAATCAGGCAAATCAAACCCTCTAAGAATCACACCACATGGGTGCAATTAACTCCAGGAAGTTGTGTGACCGGAAAAGCCATAAAGATACAACCTGATCTGAAGAACGAGGCTGAGGTGGAGAAAGGCCAGGTTTGATTTATGGATATGACACGTGTGGTTGTGAGTGCGTTTGCATGCCTATGGAAATACAGAAAAAAAAGCAAGTACATGAATGCAATGCTCCACACTGCGTTTATATAAAGTGGGCCCACAATAAAGAACTTATGATGGTGACTAAATAATTACACACAAGTTAATGCACAGCAGGAGGGAGAAGGAAGTGAGACACAAAGTAAGAGGTAGACAGAATGATCAGGTTGATTCACAACCCATTACATGAACACAAACAGCTGTATCACGCAAACACATTGCAATGATTTTTCATACATATGTTTTATTTCAGCCATCATCGCTCCAGCCTTAGAATCATCTTCTTGTCATTCACATAATCACCCTCCTAAAAGTTTAAAAAAAAAAAATTTTTTTTTTTCAGCTGAAATGTTCTCTCGTCCTGACTGCATTTCATTTTTTTCTTGCTCTAAGTCTCAGTTTAATCTGAACATATAAAAAAGTAAACCTTTTCAAAGAAAACTAAAAAAAAGCAAAGAAACAAACAAACAAAGAAAAATATATCCAGAAAATGTAATACCATCTCAAAGAGGATATACAATATTAACAACATTAATCATCAATGCTTTGATGATATCGAACAGGTTGCTAGGTCAACATGTTTGTCATTAGTAGTGTTAGTATCAAGTTCATTGTCAGTTTTTTTTTTGTGTTGAGCATCACTTATTAAATTATCATTGCATCAAGTTGACATCATCCATGTTAATATAAGCATGCAAACACATTTCCTCAGGATCATTCAGAATTGCACTGACATAGAGAGACAGAGGAAAGGGGGGAGACAAACAGAGAGAAAAATATGGTCTGGGGTGAACCAAAGAGAAAGCTATCTATGCTTGTATTTTGTGGAAACTGATGAAGGGGTCAGAGGTCACTCTACAGGGATTGTGCCTCCACAGTGTAATATCTAAGGCAGCAGAAGAGATGGGCCTGGAGACAGGAGCTGAAGACTGCGGATCGATACCACATCCACGTGTATGACGGAATCAATGGCCTCTTAGAAAACAACAAGAGCTGATATACGATAACAGACTAAGGACTGAGCACACACCAGCGAGAGTGCATGTGTGTGCACGCATCCAAGGCCTGGCATGGGATTAATAATGGAAACAGAGAAAATATGAGCTCAGGGGGGTACAGTGGGAAATAATTATACTGATGTATATTTCAATAACATGAGTGATAGTGATTGGTAATGCAGTATTCCTCCATTGAGGGATATGTGCGGTAGCATTGGCAGTGGTTGAACTGCCATATTAAAGAGATAATCCATCTAAAATTGAAAATTCTGCCATCATTTATGCACCGTCATGTCATTTCAAACCTGCATGACTTTCTTTCTTTCACAAACGATGATATTTTGAAGAATGCTTCAAATGATAGCCAACGGTGTCCAAAAACAATATTGCACCCCATTGTATTTTGAAAAGAAAAATAGATTTTGCGTTCCACAGATGAAAGTCATACAGGTTTGAAATGGCATGAGGGTGAGTAAATGACAGATTTTTCATTTCTGGGTGAATTATCCTTTTAATAGAGGCAGTGACCCTGGATATCAAGGGTATGTGAATTGAGTGCTTTAACAACTATAATATTTCTGACGATGCAGTGACCTTACTGAACATATACAAAAAAAATCTGAAGTCAGTTTGTAATGTAAAATTATATAAGTAATCTTGTGGCCCTAAAACAATAAAAGACATGCCCCCCTCTTTGTCTCTGTTTGCAAGGAATGCTCAGACAGAAAAGATAGTCACATTAGCCAAAAGAGATGAAGAGAACCAGTTTGTCTTTTTTCCCCCTTTTGCTTTTAAAGACAATGAAAAACTTCCAACATTTTATTCCTCGACAGCAGTGGCCACCAGGTTTGTCCCCTCGTACATACAGAGCACATTTACAAAAAAAGAAAAGCACACCCAACACGAGAACACAGATCAGGCTAGGGACACGTTTCAGTGACGAGCTGGTTAGGGACACAACAGAGACAGGTCACTACCACATTCGACAGAGAACAACCGAAACGCGCATCTGAGAAATAGACCCTGTCCCTACCAAGTGCAACAGGTCCTACACAAGAAATAGTTCCTCTAAGACACAGGACAGAAGACACTTGATTGTTCAAAATGAGATTTTCTCTGTGCAGGACAAAGGACGGGAAGTGGAGACGTAAACAGGGTCACGGTGACATATACTGACAGAGGCATACACGCGTACTCACAAACCGACGAGCAAACGCGTATCGACACAAAAGAGCACTCCTACAAACACATAGGATACACGGGAGGAAAAAGAGGATGAACGCGTGTGTCTTTCCAAAGCGGTCCTCTTGGCAGAAGGATGATGGAGAGCATACACTTCCTCTTTTGAAATTAAAAATGTCTTAAGAGAAAAAAACATCCTGGCATGGTATAAAAATAAAATACTATGGCCAGATCTTTTCCCCGTAGGATATGTTTCCAGGAAGTGCACACAAATCCAAGGTCCTTCCCAGTTAGGGTCCTCTGGCAATGTTTGAAATCAATGATAGCTCCCTTTGGAAGAGTTCTCAATGGGATTCAGTTTGCCAGTGTGTCCATGTCAGGGAAACATATTCTCCAATCATTTCATTCAGTATCTGGTAGAACAAGAAGAATGGTTGGACTCTAGTAAACAAACGAAAAAAGGAAACTGCTGATCTCAATGAGCTCCAAGCAGAAGGTGATAAAAATGTAAAAGGCAGAGGGACACATTTCAATACTGCACGACACGATTTGGCCAATGTATCCGTCCTTATTTCTCCTTCTCCATATGGGAACGGTCATAAAGTAGTCCTCCTCTCCAGAGAAACAGGAAACAGTTTCAAGGATTCTGCATTGGCAGAGAAGACCCACTCTGAGAACTTGCAGCTATTTGTCTGACTGAAAACACCTTGTAGAGATTTTCTATAGCTACACACAGACACCCGTACAAACTCACGTACACACATGCGCTCACACATACACAGAAACATTTGTGGTCCATAATCAATCAGGTCTCTCCTGATTATTTTATTTTTTTAAAGTGATTAAAATCTAATTTTTTGTAGGCTCAGTTTCAAATACCTAAATAAAGATTATCTATTTAAAGTGGGAATGTTTTTTTCATATTTCCCCTGAATAAATCATGACATATTTTGACTTTAACATCATTCCTGAAGCAAAACCATCCATGCCAGTTATTTTGTTACGATTCCATGTGTATGTCTGTTTGTGTGTGTGATTTGTGTCTGGTCTAGTCTAGTTATTTTTCTATATATTGTGTTGGGTCTGCAGGGTTGATTTAGAGGAATAGCACTAACACAAGCACAGTCTCTTCTCTGGTTCTTTCTTGATAAATTATTATTCACAGATGAAAAGAAAGAATGTATTTCTGTTGCTAAAAAGATAATGCTGACCTGAGGATGAGAAAAAGAAACAGAGAGACAGAAAAAAACACAGTTAACCATATAAACACAAACAGTAAGTTACATAAACACAAAGAGCTTCAGTGAACAGATGGCTGCATTCATAGTGTATGGGACTGACAACTGCATTTACTATCAGATGCGACTGTTAAATAGCTTAGAAAAGCAGCTTGAATGGCGTCATATGAACAAATCACGGTTTTGAACAATTTTGTTTAGAAAGTCATGAATGAATATCAAAGATAGTGCCTTTTTTAATGCCAGAAAGCACCACAATTAACACGATAAAAACGAGTGATAAAAAATAAGTTAGTGAGTCCAACTGAGGAGCAAGTTGATGTGTCAAATGTTAATTAACCAATATTGGCTTCAAATGTTGTTTTAATATTATTTTTTTTTTAGACAGCAGAATTTGTGTTGCACTCAGACCACGAAACAAGTTCATATCTTCGCCTCGTCTTCATCTGTAAGTAACCAGAACCCCACATAACCAGTTCTCCAGTGCGGTTCTATATACATATTAACCACTCTCGCTCTCAAAATTTGGCTTTGAGTCCTGAAAATTTTGGTTATAGAATGCAGTTGTTAATAACAAAACTGTGAGAACGTAACCATATTTAGCACTCTAAAACAGGACTAACAGCCATATCCTGCTGCTGTGTAAACACAGTCATTGATGTTTTTATCAATGTGTTAGTTCATGACTGAAACCTGAAGTACTCCAGTGTAACACACTGATGCATTCACCCACACAGACCCAGTATGTGAGGAAGTGCCCTTCTATTTACAGCATGTGTTTATGTTCATGTGTGTGTACTCACATCTCTACTCAGAGTGAGGGCTGTCCACCACTATGTGTGGCTTAGGGGAGGCTGTGACACTCTTTGACACGTATGTGTTTATGGATTTCTCCTGTGAAGGTAAACATCAATGAACATACATGATTATTCAGAAGGTGATTCCGTACATATAATAAATTATCACAGAAATTAATTATTTATTATATTGTATCTTTTCAGTATTAACTATAACCACATATATAATCAGTGCTGGGTAGTAATTGATTACATGTAATCTGGATTACATAATCAGATTCCAAAAAATGAGTACTCGTAACTGGATTATATTACATTTTTAAAATGCTCAGATTACAGTTACTTTTTAATGGATTGCATGATTACATATTATTCATAAAATGGCACAAAATGATTGATTTTCCTTAATTATTCTTTTTTCTCTTTTAAAGTTCCCTTGTCAAAAATCTTACTGTGTGTCGAACCATTTAGCTTTGACTATATTCACAATATAGAATAGCCACGGAAATGTCATGTAAATAAATTAGTGATCCATGCTTCTAAATTCAGGGGTTCCCAATTCTGGTCCTGGGGAACCCAACACTGCCTGTTTTTGAGCAGTGCAAATTAGCATAAGGTTGCACATAAGCAGAACTGATGATAATCGTGTGTGTGTGTGTGTGTAATCTACTAACACAGCCGCAGAATGGATTAAGACATACTTTGGGGGGTTTTTTGATTTATTTAAATAGTCTTCTCCCATAAATTTTGCGTTTGAAAGGGAAACTACAAATGTATATGCAATAAGGTTAGCTACAAAAATAACTGTGTCCACGCATTCTCCTGTGAAGGTAAACAACAATGAACATACATGATTATTCAGAAGGTGATTCCGTACATATAATAAATTATCAAAGAAATTAATGATTTATTATATTGTATCTTTTCAGTATTAACTATAACCACAGATATAATCAGTGCTGGGTAGTAATTGATTACATGTAATCTGGATTACATAATCAGATTCCAAAAAATGAGTACTCGTAACTGGATTATATTACATTTTTAAAATGCTCAGATTACAGTTACTTTTTAATGGATTGCATGATTACATATTATTCATAAAATGGCACAAAATGATTGATTTTCCTTAATTATTCTTTTTTCTCTTTTAAAGTTCCCTTGTCAAAAATCTTACTGTGTGTCGAACCATTTAGCTTTGACTATATTCACAATATAGAATAGCCACGGAAATGTCATGTAAATAAATTAGCGATCCATGCTTCTAAATTCAGGGGTTCCCAATTCTGGTCCTGGGGAACCCAACACTGCCTGTTTTTGAGCAGTGCAAATTAGCATAAGGTTGCACATAAGCAGAACTGATGATAATCGTGTGTGTGTGTGTGTAATCTACTAACACAGCCGCAGAATGGATTAAGACATACTTTGGGGGGTTTTTTGATTTATTTAAATAGTCTTCTCCCATAAATTTTGCGTTTGAAAGGGAAACTACAAATGTATATGCAATAAGGTTAGCTACAAAAATAACTGTGTCCACGCATTTTCATTGCTAATGTTTCACTACGTACCTCTAGTAAACCCTGACAGTAGTTTTTCAAGGCAAAAAAAGGGTTTGTGCTGGTGCAAGCAATTAGTAAATCTGGCTATATCTCCTTCTCACATACAAAAAAAACAAAACAAAATCGACTCAATTTCATGTTCATTTATTTATTTATTAGGTAAGTAGCCATGTAATAGGAAAGATTATGTGCAAATCAGTCGCAAAATAACCGCTTCAGAGGTCCTGATCCTGCTGTTGAGATTTAATGTGTAATACATTAGCCCTTACATAAAACTCTTATTTTATATAACCACAAGAAAGATAAGTGTTATAGTAATTAAGATTATAAGGTCTATTATAGGACATTATAAATGTATTATTGTGCATTACGTATACCTTTATTTTAATGCATTATATATACAGGCTTCAAGGAAAGAGTTAACAGAAAGGTTTTCTTTTTTGATTTAGGTTTTCTTTCTTTCTAGATTTTCTTTTAGTCTTTTTTTTAACAAAATTTTAGTAGCTGATACCAATACCAGTGAAAATCTGGTTTCACAATTTCAATACCACAGCAATATTCAAAGTGTTATTGAATTTTTTCAATACTGTTTTAACAAATTAAATGAAAACAAAAGAATGTAGTTTTAAGTATTTTTCAATTAATGAAGCATTGATGTGAATTATTCAGTCAGCGAGTAAGTGGTCTGCTCTTTTTCGTGCCAATGTTTTCTGATTAATGCTGTCAACGATTTAGGTTTTCTTTCTTTCTAGATTTTCTTTTAGTCTTTTTTTTAAACAAAATTTTAGTAGCTGATACCAATACCAGTGAAAATCTGGTTTCACAATTTCAATACCACAGCAATATTCAAAGTGTTATTGAATTTTTTCAATACTGTTTTAACAAATTAAATGAAAACAAAAGAATGTAGTTTTAAGTATTTTTCAATTAATGAAGCATTGATGTGAATTATTCAGTCAGCGAGTAAGTGGTCTGCTCTTTTTCGTGCCAATGTTTTCTGATTAATGCTGTCAACATAATAGACAGCAGCAACTGTATTAGACTGCATTCACACTACAAGGTCTAATGCACACATCCCTTTTTTCTACATTAAAATAATAATAGTAATAGAGATAATAACTACATTAATATCTCACCCAGATGGGGATTTTAACTAAAACGGCATTTGACCGTGAGGTGCAAGCACACTTTACAGGGTGTGTGGGCAAATAAAAACCTAAATAAATACTTTTGACAACCATAGTCTTTTTTAAGACAAGTGAACCTTGAATGGTGTTTACTTATTAAGACGAACAGGTATCAGGTGTGAAGGTTAAAGGCATTTTAACAAGGATTTGGCTTGTATAGAGGACACTGCCTATACACAATAACACACAGCACACATTGATTGATTTTCACATGCTCGCTCACACACACACACACACTCCATGCGGTCACGCTGTCTACCTCCACCAGCTGGTGCCAGTGTTCAATAGGCTTGCGGGGATTCGCCAGCATGGCTGTCCAGTGCTCCCTTCCTGGTCCATCAGCATCACTGCCCATACGGCACATCCCGATCACCTCATTATGACCAATACTGAGAGACAGAGAGAGAGAGAGAGTGGGAGGGAGAGAGTGAATTAATGCAGTTAGGCTAAGAAATGAAGGAGAACCACAGACCAGTGTATCCATTACAACAAATGGGCGAGAGAGAGAGAATGAAAGACTGCAAAGAGACACAGGAGAACATGAGGAGCTAGAAAGCACAAAGTAACAAGATAAAAAAGGAGGCCTAATTGGCATCATATAATTAGAAAGATGCAGACAGGACCTTAGTGTCATATAGTAACCTGCCCATTAAGACACACACACTCAGACACACTGAGAGTTTCCACACGCAGTCCTTTAATTACACAGACACAGACTGAGAGATCACATAATTACACAGACAAACAGAACAGAAGGAGAGAGAGAGACAGAGGTACATTCCAATTATTGAATTACAGTGATAAACAAAATGAGGCAAGAGTACAGGGAACGGATTCAATGATTTGAGCGAAAATTTGTCACAGAGGACAGATGGGTAGTCGTTTATGATAGGTCTACTGATTACCGAGATAAAGAAAATGAGAGAGAGAAGATTAGAACAGAGAGAGGTGTCATAATCACTTAATTACTCGAAAAGTGAGTATGAAAAGCTGCTCAAGTGAAGGTGGAATAACAAGCGGGTCTAATAAGTGGAACAGAAATAAATCTTTCCTCCTGCATTTATTGTTGATCAGAGACATGGACAGAAAATAAATGACATTCATGCATGCTGTTTACTGCCAAGCAGTAGGAGTAGAAAAAAAAGTACTCCATAGTTTCTGTGTGTCATGTGACAGGCCTGGATTTGTATAAAGACATCAGGGTATAACTTTATAAAAACTTACTTTCATGAGTGTAACTTCCCTATTGCAATAGTGATGACACACTTAAAGGCAGCGCAGGTGATTTGGTTCAAAAACATTTGTACTCAGACACAGAGTTTCCACACGCAGTCCTTTAATTACACAGACACAGACTGAGAGATCACATAATTACAAAGACAAACAGAACAGAAGGAGAGAGAGAGACAGAGGTACATTCCAATTATTGAATTACAGTGATAAACAAAATGAGGCAAGAGCACAGGGAACGGATTCAATGATTTGAGCGAAAATTTGTCACAGAGGACAGATGGGTAGTCGTTTATGATAGGTCTACTGATTACCGAGATAAAGAAAATGAGAGAGAGAAGATTAGAACAGAGAGAGGTGTCATAATCACTTAATTACTCGAAAAGTGAGTATGAAAAGCTGCTCAAGTGAAGGTGGAATAACAAGCGGGTCTAATAAGTGGAACAGAAATAAATCTTTCCTCCTGCATTTATTGTTGATCAGAGACATGGACAGAAAATAAATGACATTCATGCATGCTGTTTACTGCCAAGCAGTAGGAGTAGAAAAAAAAGTACTCCATAGTTTCTGTGTGTCATGTGACAGGCCTGGATTTGTATAAAGACATCAGGGTATAACTTTATAAAAACTTACTTTCATGAGTGTAACTTCCCTATTGCAATAGTGATGACACACTTAAAGGCAGCGCAGGTGATTTGGTTCAAAAACATTTGTTGTTATGCTGGTTGAAAGTCTCTTCACATACCGACAGCAATCACTAAGTTAAGTGGTCTAAATATATTTATATGTATTTATATCATCGGTCATTTGACCAGAAATATGAGACCCTGCTACAATTTTTATATACACATTACTGTTCAAAAGTTTGGGGTCAGTAGGATTTTTTAATGTTTTTGAAAGAAGTCTCTTATGCTAACCAAGACTACATTTATTTGATCAAAAATACAGGAAAAACATTAATAAAACCTTAAAGGTGACATATCATGAAAATCTGACTTTTCCAGGTTTTAAGTATTTTAAAATGTCATTTATTCCAGTGATGGCTAAACTGAATTTTCAGCAGCCAATTCTTCAGTCTTCAGTGTCATGTGATCCTTCAGAAATCATTCTAATACGCTGATTTGCTGCTGCAGAAACATTTCTTCTTATTATCAATGTTGAAAACAGTTGTGCTGCTTAATGTATTTTATGGAAACAGTGATACATTTTTTTCAGGATTTTTTGTGATGTTTAAAAAATGTCTTTGATGTCACTGAATAAAAGTATAATTTCTTCAAAAAATTTGTACTGACCTCCAAAGTTTGAACAGTAGTGTAGATAAATAAAACTGTCCTCTCAAATAATTTTAATGAAAACAAAGAGGCACAAATAAATGAGTCAATGATTCACTTGAGCTCCCAAGTCTATTTTTTTAAATGAAATATTGGGTTAAATGCTGCTGTGCACTGTTTTTACTCAGTTATATTAATCATTTAGCTTTTAGTATAAATGTATTTGGCTAATTAAATGCTGTCGTCCTAATTCAGATCTTAATTTTGTGCCAAATAAATACAGCTTTGATACAATTAAACTGAATTTACCCCTGTACATAGCTTCAATGTAGCTACTTTTTGTAAGCTGTTTGAAGCATAACTAACTTTTTTTTTTTTAATGGTAGCTTGACTGTAGTTTAAAGTAGCTCGGGAAGCTACAGATTCAAAGTAGCTCCACCAACACTGCCACTAAATCAAGTCATGCTCAAAGAAATGAGTGCCACCAAGAGTTATGTCCTGCCTTTATTTTAATAACAATAATGCCAAAATAAAGTCAGTCAAGCTTTAGTGAAGACTTAAAGTCGTTGTGTTGCAAAAAGCCTGAAACCATATGAATAACATCAGTTTTATGAAGTAGTCTGCAAGCCATGAACAACATTTCTTCATCTCAAACAAAAATAACTTGCCTTGCCTGCTCCTGTGTGACGTCATGCACAGTAATGCCGGTTTAAATACAGAAACACTAAAATAAAATGCAAAATGGATTGTTTAGCATGACAGATATATGTAAGAAATGACTATTATCCAGCCGATTACGCTTCTGAATGGAGCATTTAGCACAGATGGCATGCAGCAAAGCTAAGAGCAATTCATCAGCCGCTATCTGTGGCTCACAGATGAGCTGCTTCATTAGGAGGAGCTGCTGGTGTGCCACATGCAATTGGAAAGAGATGAAATCATGGAGAGCATAGACAAACACACATTTGGGAAACTCGGATGTGGATTTCCTCAGAATTGAAAGCAGTTCTTAAAATAGAATCTGATACACGATTTGTATGCACCTGATTTTTCAAGTCATATTTTGTTCCACAAAAGCACACAAAATATGGCCATAAAAGTGGGATTAGATGACAGGACACACCTAGCAGTACATATACTTCATTTTCAAAAAGTAAAAAACATAAATGTCATTCCTAAGGTCTATCATACTGAAGTGCTGCAAGAAGAGCTCCACAGATACAGAAGAGGTGACTTAAGTTGTGCCCACCAGACAAGAAACATTGGCTGTGCCACAGAGTGTCTCACCACCAGACACCGCTTCCATTAGTTTTAGGCCATCATGTATATTCATGAGGTGTCTGTCTTTATGCAAAACAGTGCAGACGTCCACCAGGAATAGCCTAACACACGGGGGCATAAGGCCCTATGTTCAGTGGAGCACATACACGTTAGGGTTGAGCCGATAGACGATAGTATCGTGTATCGACGATAGTCAGAGATATCGACGATAGCAGATGTCTTTGTCGATAGTCAAGACGATATTAGGCTCATTCTCCTATTAATGTATTAAATATTATTATTATTATTAGGCGGCCCATTAATTCGGCTATTATTATCAAATTGCCCCGGTTTTTCATTCAGCACTGTATTTAGGTGCGCGCTGCGGACGGAGCGCAACGGAGGATTTGGTTTACAAACTAAAGTAAAAGACCGCTTCTTAAACCAGAGAAGGTGAACATGTTGGTATTCTTGTGGAAAAAAACATGCAAGTCCTGTCAGCGACAGCCAGTTTAGTTTTACTTGTCTTTTTGTTTTGAAAAGCTTGTTATCTTTGCTGTTTACCTGGTGTTATGCTATGGAGGCTTTCCTTATTTCTTTTATTATTATTATTTATTTGATTACTCAGTGTTTGTTAAACATTCTGTAATTTATTATTCAGTATATACAGCATGTGATGTATCCTATGCCATGCCTTGTCTTATTCGTTTTTGTTAAAACAGACAATTATCTTTTCTTGTAAAACATGACACCAAGATGCGAATTTGAAAGTGAAAGTGAAAGCGCAGGAAAAGAGGAATTCCTGTTCACAAAATTTAAATCACAAATAATACTGATGAAAAAGAACGGGTTGAATGTTGAACACTTTCGTTACCATATAACTAGCATAAACTATGATAAAAGTTAATCAGCATGCATTGATTAATCAAATGTAGCAACAAAAAAATTGCGACCAAATTATGTGCTCCTGCGACCAACTGAGAAAATTAGTCGCAAAAAAGCGACCAGTGGGAAGAATGAGTCTAGAGCCCTGATATATGTGCAATATTTTAACCGAGCCCTCACTAACTGAGTTTAATGCCAGTTATGTTAGAACGCACGCATCTCATTCTTGTTTCTGTGGCGGTGCGTCGGGCGCAGTCCGGAGCGCTGTATGACTGATGTATCTGTTTAATTTAAATTTACTCAAAAATAGTCCTAATAGCGATGTATGACTGTTGTATCCTAATATATATGAACTAGCTGTTTTAAATATTTTTGTATTTAACATGTTAGTTTATCAGTATGTTTGAAAGTATATTATTTAGATTCGTGGTGCTTCCATAGGCTCCCTCTCTGTCTTGCGACCGGTTGTTTGAAAGTATATTATTTAGATTCGTGGTGCTTCCATAGGCTCCCTCTCTCTCTTGCGCGCGGTTTAAAACACCAAATAGTTATGAAATAGCCTATGACAAGTACAGGGAGTCTCTCTCTTGCCCCCACCCACCCATGCACGATAATATCGTCTATCGGCGATCTCACGGACTGGCGATATGACGATTTGAAAAATTACCATATCGCCCAACACTAATACACGTACAAATATGTACAACAGGAATTTTAATTCACCAATTAAACAACAAACTATCTCATCAGTATCAGTCACAGAGATCCTTAAACGCATGAAAAGATCATACTTCATTCAGTTTTATATTGCTACTTTCTCAACAACGTAGTAAAATGCACTATTCTGGTCTATTCTGAAAAATTGTAATTAAATTAATTGATTAATTAATATTAATTGTAGTTCAATATTAAACCTTATCCTTCGCTGCTGTTGAATGCTTGAATCTGACTGTCTGACAAATGTTTTAAGGTATGCAATTATTTTCAGGGAAAGCACGGCTAAAGTAGTTCCAGGCAGGTCTTGACCGCATTACATGTCCATATCACTTCGCCCAAATATTTCAGTTATTTCAAAGGTCCTTACAGCCTACAACAGCAAAAGAACCAAAACCCATCAAGTGAAATCCCATCAAGCAAATAAATATAGTAAACAATATGATTTAAAAAATGACAAATTATTTCCATGTTTTTGCCACAAACTTGTTTTATTATGTATGGAAAGCACATACTCTGTTTCTCCTGCTCTCTCTCCCACTCAAACATGCACACACATAGTGTTCAGCACTGACACACACTTGCACACATGGAAACATACACGCTGCTCTGACAATTTTATCAGTAAATAGTTTAGCAACCTAAAAGATACATGTCATTTCTCACCAATAACAGCACTGTTCTTGAAGCAGATTAACTTCAAGTTTCGCTTTTAGTAGAGACACTGCTGCCGAACACTGCTGAGAGACGCACAGACTCAGGTAATTTACACACGTTTAATCTCTCTCTCTCTCTCTCATAACTGCATTAATAACTGCACTAGTCTGCTCTCAACGATCCATTGAATTAATTAAAAAAAAGGTGTAACTGGATAAATTTAATGTGAATAAGAGTATTCATTTCTTTAAAAACTTCTTTCTGACCCCAAACTTTGGAATGGTAGCATACTGTATATTACACTGGAGAAATATTACAATAGAAAAGTATTTACACAACTGGACTCTGTAGGAAACACTGTGTAGATCTAATTTGAATCTCTCCCACAGAACTTCAATAAATGCTTTATTCTTTCAACGAATGGAAAATCCATGTGTTCCTGAATAAGTTCTGTGAGACACAGCCTGTAAGCATGCCTAATGTTACAAGTGGGCACTTCCTGTCAAGCTTCGTATCACAGCAGGGAGCTTGATGTGTTGCAGCATGTCTCAAAGCCCATCACAGCATGAAAAAGGCAGTCATGATCTTACCAGTCGTAGTCCATGACGGCGATGATGAGCGACACATTCTCAATGTTCTCATTGGGGATATCAAAGACCAGAGCCTCATTATACGTGGGATTGAGAGTATTCTTCTTTATGGACGTCTTCCTCTTTTTCAGCCTTCGACCTTCACAAACCAGAGATGCCTTTACGTATGGATCTGAGAAAGCAAGAACAGAAAGAGTGAAGGAGAGAGAAAATTTGTCAAAGAAATAGCAACGGCAGGACGTAATGCATCGACAACATTAAAAATTAATGCGAGTAACGGCATCAATAATTACTGTGCTAGCAATAATGATACATTAACATTGCTTTTTCCATAATGCACCGGGATAGTGCAACATAATCATGTCCTATAAGAGGAATCTTTATTACATTACTTTAAGCCTTGCTGTGATAATTAAATAAGCCAACACTAATTAAAGATGTCGCTTGTTCTTATGACTGTGATGTTGATACCTTTATAAGGCGTTTCAGTTTTAACATTCAACTTTTTAGAGGTGCTATTTGATATTCAGAACTTTCAGAACTGATGGTTTTGTGACCTTTAATGTTATTTCATTATTCACATGCTGGATGTGTTACACCAAGGTTATTAATGAGCAGCAGTTTCATCACGTCTCACTGTCAACAATGTCTGAGGTGCTAATGAGGTATCGCTGTTAATTATGAGGGAATTAGAGGAATGGCTGGGGACCACGAGCAAGACCAGGTACCTGAGAAGCCCGTGAGGTCCATGGCTTTCAGATTGGTGGCCTTAATGATGGTGATGGTCAGTCGGCCAGCTGTTGGCAGGTAACACAGTGAGAAGTTCAGCTCGCCCAGGTCAGCTTTCTCCTGCAGACACAAAAAACATATCGAAAGGTCCAAAGTTCACTTTGAAGTTAGATTGTGAGTAATGCAAATGCTGAATGTAATGCACAAAAATAAGGAAATTCATGGAAAAAAATGATTACACCGTCTTTCTTGAAATGTTTCAAAAATGTATTTGTCCTTTTATTAAGACGCAAGGATAAACTGAAGGAATGTCTGTGGCTTTTAATGCTTAATCAAACATTTTTAAAGGATTTCTCTCTGTTCAATTCAAACGCAGCTCTGGCCTGCTGTGATTACCACAGAATTCATTTTAACTCGTCCTTGAACAAGAAGAAAATCATGTTTACAGTAATGCACTTGCAATGAAAGTCCACTTTAATAAACATTAAAAACACACTTTTTTGGAGTACATCCACAGGTTATGACCATGTAAATCCGATAAACGCTATAACTTAGAAAGCAAGACTACTGCAAAGAGACTGTTCTGAAGAATATGTGTTGAGATGCTATGCCTGTTTTTTCTCTTACACTCTTGGTTGAACCTTTCATCTTTCTCTCAAGTTCTTGTTCTGCCAGACAGAATTAATCATCAGCTATGACGAAAAAAGAACAAGGGTAGGAGAGGTAAACAAAAAGAGCTACAATATTTCATCAAAAACGTCAAGCATATGAGGTACATCTCCAAGAACTATAGGAGCTGCCAGCTTTGGGTCTGGGTCCGTAAACGTGATGTGAAAGCTGCATTATGTGAGTGTTGTTGTTTTTTTGTTACACTCCAGCACTTTGAAAAATGTATTATACACCAAGTCATTTTTTTTCCCCAAACCAGCTGAGTAGGTAAATCCGCTAATGCCACCTGAGCGGCCGATTGGCTGAATCCAACATTTCATTTACATCCATTCACATGTCAGACACACAAATGTCAGAAACATACTCAAATCCAGCATGCATCACTGAATAATTTTTACATTTGTCTTGTCAGACTGAGTAGATGGTGCCAAATGTATCTTCTTTCCTTCATTTGACCTAGTCGTGCTGTGGAAAATGTAATCTACCTTATTTAAGCACACAGCAGCTTGTGTTTGATTTGATTTATTCTCTCTGTTCTCCAAAGGTGCAAACACATTTTAAAATAACAATATTCTATGATCATGACAAAAATTTTCTAAAAACTGCTCCATTAAGATGCAGTGGCAATTTCTGAAGTGCTCTTGAAAAAAGTTCCTTTGCACAGTGGACCTTCACTAATTTCATGTAATTTTCTCTGGAAGGACGAGCACATGCATCACTAGATCACCTCACACCTCTGCTACCCACATCCCCAAGGACACATCATCATCATCGCCTTAGCATGTAATCACGCATGATTTTCAATTGTGAAAAACGTCTCATGAATATAAAATGAGGTTTTCAATTCCACTTAATAGAGATACGCAAGTACCATATAAGATACCACTATTATCATAAAATCTGTCCTGGCTAAGGTTCTCATTAAATCCAGCACAATTTCTTGGGTGAAATTCACTAAACCGTGTTTGAGTGCAAAACCTTGCGTCTTAAACCACATACCACTCCAAAAATTATAGCGTTGAATTTAATTTTAAAAGACATTTTTTAGACCTACCTGATTTAATCCATACAAAATTGTTTTCTTTGTATAAGTGAATGTTTTCAGGCAATATTAAATAATATTTTTGACTTAAATAAATTTAAAAAAAAGTTCATTTAGATGTTAATATTTTTTCAGTGTTGACTCAATGAAGATTTGCTTTATTCACAAAACTCAATGCTATTTGTCTTGCGTAATTATCAGTGCATATGTACTGCCCAGGGAAAGCAGGGGAAGCAGTTTTGCTCAAAAGAGACATTTGTGCATATTTTTATTGATGACAGCAGTAATTTATCAAATGGTGATCAAGTAAAGGAGTAGAGCGTTATATCTTGGCACATATCCAGAAGTTTGGTGTAGTCAAGCGCACTTCCAGCATTTCCTATTGAGGTGTTGGCGTGAAGCCGATGTGTTCAGTGTGAGTGCTTTGACATATTGAGCAGTGGTGCTCATAGCAGACCCGGGTTTAAGTCTGGCCCGGTGATGTTGCCATCCTGTTCCCCTCTCTCATCTCTACTACTGTGTATGGCAAGAAATGTAGCAAATAAACTCATCACTGTTCAGCATGGCTATTCAGCTCAGGTCCTTGATGGCCACTTTCCTGCAGGGTTTAGATTTAACCACAGTCTAAAGCATGTCAACAAGCTAATCAACTGATCACCCAAAATGAAAATTCTGTCATCATTTATTCACCCAACCTGTACGATTTTCTTTCTTCTGTGGAACACAAACAAATTTTGTCCACATAATGGAAGTCAATGGTCACCAAAACAGACCATCATTCTTAAAAATATTTTCTTTTTTATAGTGCCAAAGAAAGTCAGTCAAACCGGTTTAGAACGATTTTTGGGTGAAGGATTTCTTGAAAATGACACGCAGGTGTGTTTGATTAGTGTTGTAACTCAACTCCCCGGGACAGCGGCCCTCCAGGACTGAAGCTGAATAGCCCCGCTGTACGGTCTCAGCATAGTACGTCAGATCCTGACAGTCGAACATCTGTTGTAGTGTAGCGGTCTGCATCCTTCATAATCTAGCACCCAGAACCGGTGTTTGTGGTGTTACCTAATTTGCATAAATCTTTCAGCAAATCACATGCTAAAACTCAGACAGCATGTGCAAATACACAACGCCATCAACTACTCATTCTCACCGACTCTAATGAACCTTTAATATGTGTTTGTGTCATTATCTCACCGCGGTTCCTTCTACGATGTTTCTCCAAACTGGCTTCTCCCCGGTGCCCTCGCTGAAGTCCAGCAGGTTATCCACCACCACTTGACCTATGAGGTCATGTCTGGAGAAACGATCAAAGTCGTAGATGGAGAAGTGGAGCTTGCGCGAGTGCAGCTCCGCCAGAGGCACGCCGAACTGGAACGTCTCATTAAAAACCGGGTTGAGAGTTTTTCTGTGCACCTGCGAACCAGAGCCACGGAAAGACCAAGTGGAAATGAGAGAAAGTGAAGGAAATTAGATAAGCGGAGGAGCTGAGAGGGAAAAGTGAGCGAAGGGAGTGAACAAGAGATTGGTTAACATTAAAACTGCAAATGCATAAAGTTAATTCAAAATGCACCGCCTGATATAGATGTATTTTTAGATGAACTAGGGCACTGGGAAAAAAAATCACACAGGCAAGCTGAGAAACGCAACCAGATCTTAATGAGTCCTAAGAAGGTCTGCCATCTGAACAGTGGATTATTGTAAAAGCAGGGAGCTGACTGCTGCCTCGCTAGGATAAAAAAAGATACCTTGGTCTGAAATTTCTTCTTCCTATCAGGCAGTAAGTAGATCTTGACATAAGGATCGGAGAAACCATTGGCATCCTTCGCCGGGAGGTCCAGGGCTTTCAGTATCTTAACCACCAGCTGCTCCGTGCTGTAAGAAAGACATGTCAACGTCACCATAATTCACTTTGAACTATCTGGAAATTCCTGCGCTCGCTAGCCTGGGCGTGAGTTCATTTCAGCGTCATCTAACCAGCAATGACAAGAGCGTTGGTTTATGTTGAAATAGGCTGACATCCAGGCCAGTATCAGGACAGCACTGCAGCACTGAGTTCAGCGAGGCTCAATGGCTGTCAGGTTCAGGAAAATAGGGGAAAAAAAGAGGAGGTGCCAATTGTACAACCCAGCTCAATGGCTTGGAATTGACAGATGGACAGAGCCGTACTTGAGCTGCGCAAGCTAAATGGATCTTGTACGAACGTGAATATATGAGATAATACATCCCTAATGTGAATATAAAGACATGAATATTTGATGCGTAATGCAATGACTGTGGCTTCCAACACCGGACTTTATAAATAATCCAGAGCTTATTACGAGGCAAACCATAGGTCATTTCATGGCTAGACTGTAGCAGGGTTGTTGCGGTCTGGTGCCAAGCACAGCACGACCGTGAACTTCTGAAGCGCGATGCTCACCCAGTGTTTGTGCAGTTGTAAATAAGAGAGGCGGGGGAAGTTCTGTGGTTGCTAATCAGGCCTTGTTAGAATGTGTCTCTCAGTGTTAACAAAATGCGTCACCCTTTCATTTGGACACGTAAACAAATCAGCAACACTGGGGGAGGGAGAACACAAGCAGAAATCCAATACGGCCTTAGACTGACATGTCGATCATAAAGAATGTGCAGTGACATGGTACAAATCTCAACCAATCAGCATGGAAGCAAATAAGTTAATCATGTGATATTATCATCCAATCTGTAAGTGACAAATTTAATAATTCATTATTGTACAATCATGTAAAGACAAGGATTAAAGGGGTATTTACACTGACAGCAATTTTAAGAGATTCATTTTCAAGGACAGTTGGCGATTTCTAGCAATACGAGCGACAGCAACCCTAATTATGCAACATAATTGGTTTCTAGATTCATATATATATATATATATATATATATATCAGTGGTGGGCCGTCAGGGCCAGCAAAGCCTTCTCTGCTGGCCTAAACACTATCAGAATCACTGATTTAGTTTAATATATTTTTCCATGAATGTGTATTAAATTATTTCCAATAGTCTATTCTCTTTCTTTCATAGCTTTTCTCTTGGTTGCACTGCTTCCAGCAGTGTATGAACACTCCAAAGAGAAAGGAAAACTTGAAATCGCATCATATGACCCCTTTAAATCAATGGCAATGAAACTGTTGCTTTAACCAATCAGATTTCGAGTTGGCAGCACCAGGGCCATCTAGCTGGCTAACGATAACGTCAGCATTTTCTCGTCCTTTGATTGGATGGTCAGTGTACTAGCTAGCAAACAGCATCACTGTAAATCATGTAGCGTCTGGACCACTCAAACACACAATATATATTTTGTTTTTATATTTAACAAATACTCTGTAACCCCCCTCAGTTAACAAGCCATATGAGGACTTACTTTAGTAATGGCATTCATTCTCACTACATAAGATACCTATCTGTTATGTAGTGCCCTGTTAGGCCTACTGCATTACTGTGTAATATTTATGGTTTCTATAGCCATGGCATCATTATGATGGTATGAAGAGATGGATTAATTCATGTAGGACGCCACTGAAGGCCTAGGTGTAAAATGCACGGCCCGCCACTGATATATACAGTGGGTACGGAAAGTATTCAGACCCCCTTAAATTTTTCACTCTTTGTTATATTGCAGCCATTTGCTAAAATCATTTAAGTAAATTTTTTTTTTCTCATTAATGTACACACAGCACCCCATATTGACAGAAAAACACAGAATTGTTGACATTTTTGCAGATTTATTAAAAAAGAAAAACTGAAATATCATATGGTCCTAAGTATTCAGACCCTTTGCTCAGTATTTAGTAGAAGCATCCTTTTGATCTAATACAGCCATGAGTCTTTTTGGGAAAGATGCAACAAGTTTTTCACACCTGGATTTGGGGATCCTCTGCCATTCCTCCTTGCAGATCCTCTCCAGTTCTGTCAGGTTGGATGGTAAACGTTGGTGGACAGCTAATTTTAGGTCTCTCCAGAGATGCTCAATTGGGTTTAAGTCGGGGCTCTGGCTGGGCCATTCAAGAACAGTCACAGAGTTGTTGTGAAGCCATTCCTTCGTTATTTTAGCTGTGTGCTTAGGGTCATTGTCTTGTTGGAAGGTAAACCTTTGGCCCAGTCTGAGGTCCTGAGCACTCTGGAGAAGGTTTTCGTCCAGGATATCCCTGTACTTGGCCGCATTCATCTTTCCCTCGATTGCAACCAGTCGTCCTGTCCCTGCAGCTGAAAAACACCCCCACAGCATGATGCTGCCACCACCATGCTTCACTGTTGGGACTGTATTGGACAGGTGATGAGCAGTGCCTGGTTTTCTCCACACATACCGCTTAGAATTAAGGCCAAAAAGTTCTATCTTGGTCTCATCAGACCAGAGGATCTTATTTCTCACCATCTTGGAGTCCTTCAGGTGTTTTTTAGCAAACTCCATGCGGGTTTTCATGTGTCTTGCACTGAGGAGAGGCTTCCGTTGGGCCACTCTGCCATAAAGCCCCGACTGGTGGAGGGCTGCAGTGATGGTTGACTTTCTACAACTTTCTCCCATCTCCCGACTGCATCTCTGGAGCTCAGTCACAGTGATCTTTGGGTTCTTCTTTATCTCTCTCACCAAGGCTCTTCTCCCCCGATAGCTCAGTTTGGCCGGATGGCCAGCTCTAGGAAGGGTTCTGGTCGTCCCAAACGTCTTCCATTTAAGTATTATGGAGGCCACTGTGCTCTTAGGAACCTTAAGTGCAGCAGAAATTTTTTTGTAACCTTGGCCAGATCTGTGTCTTGCCACAATTCTGTCTCTGAGCTCTTCAGGCAGTTCCTTTGACCTCATGATTCTCATTTGCTCTGACATGCACTGTGAGCTGTAAGGTCTTATATAGACAGGTGTGTGGCTTTCCTAATCAGGTCCAATCAGTATAATCAAACACAGCTTGACTCAAATGAAGGTGTAGAACCATCTCAAGGATGATCAGAGGAAATGGACAGCACCTGAGTTAAATATGTGAGTGTCACAGCAAAGGGTCTGAATAGTTAGGACCATGTGATATTTCAGTTTTTTTTTTTTAATAAATCTGCAAAAATGTCAACAATTCTGTGTTTTTCTGTCAATATGGGGTGCTGTGTGTACATTAATGAGGAAAAAAAATTAACTTAAATGATTTTAGCAAATGGCTGCAATATAACAAAGAGTGAAAAATTTAAGGGGGTCTGAATACTTTCCGTACCCACTGTATATATATATATATTTGGGGGGAACGCATCACAGAAAATATTTCCACAAAAATATTAAGCAACGTTTTTAACTTTAATAATAATATGAAATGTTTCTTGAGCAGCAAATCAGCATATTAGAATTATTTATGAAGGATTACGAGAAACTGAAGACTGGAGTAATGGCTGCTGAAAATTCAGCTTTGTCATCACATGAACAAATTACATTTTAAAATATATCAAATGACTGGCAGGAGAGTTATGGGAATATGGTTGGATGAGTTGTGTAGATGAAAATAACATTTTAAACATGATTCATATGCAATGATCAGTGCTGAAATCACCAATGCAAGTGCAAACAGTGATTCACCCCCTGAAATTGTTGGATAGCGGTCGAGTCGGACTGCCTACTAGCAACCAACAGAGAGACTCTAAAATATCCTGCGATTTAATCGCTGTGTGGCCCAAAAAACATACTTGCTAAAGTAAAATTACATCAGATTGCAAAATAAAATACTTGTAGACATTTCAAGTTTGAAAAAACAGTCCCAGATGCATTTTGAGCTGTCCAGTCTAATATACATTATATCAGTTTGGCGGAATTAGAAATGAATCTCACGGCAAGTGGCATGCAGCACAACAGCACACTTTAAATCAGGCTGATCTTTAGAAATGTACGGTGCCATTAGCATTCAGGGCTATGAAAATATAATTGAAAATGACAGGTTCTGTCTTGCCCACATTAGAGCGAGCATTTAAAGCCACCCCATAGCCCCCACCCCAGTCATGTGTTGCACCGCACAACGGCTTTTCATTTATTCAGTGACAGGCACATACAATGCACATGCTGTCTGAAAGCGCTCATCCGGAAAATGCAATGATCTCAGTTGGAATCTGACAAATAGACGTATAAATTAAAATAAATAATAAAACAACATTCAGCTCCAACCCTCATAGACAATGGGTTAGAAATAGCTGCTATTCCCTCCGCGCCGCATGTGTTATCGGCCTACTGCTGTGCTGATAGAAAGCTACGTCCCACCGGATGTGACTCTGACTGACAGTGTCAACCTGCCCGCTATTCCCAAAATGCTTGTACATATTCGTGACATATTCGCATTGATGTTTTGCAAACGCAACAGCATAGCAGGAGGTGTGATGATGTCAATTAAACACACGGGGATGAGAAACAATCTTGGCCGCTAGTGCTCATGTAAACGCGGAGCAACAATTCCGGTTGCATTTGCTTTAAAGGGGTCATATGATGCGATTTCAAGTTTTCCTTTCTCTTTGGAGTGTTACAAGCTGTTTGTGAATAGATAAGATCCCTAAAGTTGCAAAGACTGAAGTCTCAAACCCAAAGAGATATTCTTTAAAAAAGTTAAGACTGCTCCACGCCCTCCTAAAACACCTCGTTCAAACACGCCCCCACATGTCTACGTCACGATGTGGGAAGATTTGCATAACGCCGCCAAATGTTCATGCAAAGAAAGAAGGCATAGTTCTTTTTTAGCAACGACATATGACCCCTTTAAAAAGAAATCGAAATTCTTTTCATTTACTCACACGACTGATGAAATTTCACGATTCTCACAGCAAAACTAATACTAGCCTACCTAATATAAGTAAAAAGTTCTCGAGTTCATGAGACAAGTAAACCTTTAGGAATAAAAAATGGATTGAAGAAACTAATTACAAGCAAGGACAAAGAAATATAATTGAACAAAAATACAAATGTGTAAAGTAGGGCTGCACAATTAATCGAATTTCTAATCGCGATTACAATTATGGATGCCACAATTACGTAATCGTTCAAAGTGGCAATTAATCGTTCAAAGTCCACTTATGTTATTCTGCATGCTTAATATATGTTTTTTCTTTCTACATGTTATCTTAAGGGTTTTTCCATTGTTTTAGTTTAGTTTTAGTATAACGTTATAATACCATTCATATTTTTTCTTTTTTATATAATTTAAAGAAGAAACCAATCCGATGTATATTTGACATTTGAGGCTTAATAAAAGCACTTAAGGATTTTCAGTTAGAGTGTTTTCAGCTTGTTTATTTTCATATAAAAATACAGCATGCAGTTGCATCAAACAATGGTATAAACATCATTCAATGTAAATTGTGATAATCGTAATTAATAATCACAATTACAATTTCAAGGGAATAATCGACAATTATGATGTCATAATCGTGCAGCCCTAGTGTAAAGTAAATATCTGTGAAAATGGCAATTTGACTTTTGCCATTTTTGTGTGTATTTGACAGTTTAAGTGCAATGAGCAGCCAAAATGAACTTGATTCTGTACTCAGATGCTGTGTGACTGGTGACTTCAAATCACAAACGTTTGTGACTGCAACACTGAGTGTAACCGATAATCCAAAATCTAATCCAAAACTGGCTGATAAAGTTCTGCCAGTTTACCGTGTCTACCATTATATTGCTCATCCCCAGCTCACCATGATTGTTTAAAACCCTCTCTCTTCCGAACACAAAAGATATTAAGCAGAATGTCTAGGTTGCTCTTTTCCATACAATGAAAGTGAAGGGTGGCCACGGCTGTTCATTATATGTACAGTAAAACAGCAGCCCAGACATTCTGCTAAACATCTCCTTATTTGTTCCACAGTAGAAAGAAAGAAAAGGTTTAAAACAACACGAGGCAACAGCAAAACTTTTATTTTTAGGTGAACTATCCTTTTAATTCAAAAGCTTTCCATCTCATGCGCAAACGCAATCGTGACATACTCACCTTAGTAGAACATAATAGACAGATAATACAATGAACAGGGACAGAGGTGTCAAATCATTTATTTGAACTACTCCCTATGTGTAAGGAATGAGATATCAATCTCCACTCACCCATCTTCATCTCTTTCTCTCCCTCTGCCTACTCTGTAATTCTGGCCGTAACACAGTGCTGTGCTATTATGTGTTGACAGGCTGTGCTGTTTAAAGTGGCTGGTCATATATAATTCATGAGTGAAACAGCCTCTCCCTCCTTCATTTCTCAAACATCAGCACTTTCCACCATTCTAATGTCCCTCTGTGTGATGGCAAAATAAAGGACCCGGTCTGACGTGCACGGGCTTGCCCACAGCAGGCCTGACTATAACTCATTGTGCTGACTGCAACTCCCCTGCTTCTTTCTCCAGCTGCCTTTTCAATTTTGAGCCCTGCCGATGCGATCTATTTATAACCCACTGATGTATTGAGAGGCATGGATCCACATTGTGTGACAATTCCAAACTAGATGCTTCCCCGTGGGGAGAGGAGGGAATGGCGGAATGGATTAGAGTGGACTCACTTGAAGGCGTAGCGCAGGAGGAAGCTGATTTTGCCGCAGGTGTCGCCTTGTTTGCCATCCCCCTGGTCTCCCTGGCGCAGCCGGTAAAGTTCTGGTTTGATCTGCCCAATGCTGGTCAGCTGCTCACTCTTCTCCTCACCATGGAAATCAGGGCTGGAAAGCTGGTGAGTCATGGGCTTAGGCCTGGAGAGAGACCAGAGGGTGAACACATTCACACATGCGCATGTATAGACAAACACAGTGACTGTTAGGGGGAAACTAAACATCTTCAGATGATATTTCACCCCAAAATAAAAAAAGGCCTACTTGAACCTTTTGGATTTTTTGCATTGCATTTTCATTTTTTTTAAATTCTGATTACTACTTCAAATGAGGGGAAAATGTGTGAAAAATGTGAACGCAAAAAAAAAAAATATATATATTATTTAAATGTCAAGCATTTACTCATTGTGGTATTGTTGCATTGACTTTAATTTAAGCTCATTTAAATGATCATTTTAAGTATGTTACAAAAAAATACTGCATTGAGAATAATGAGAATCTAATGAAAGACAAATTCCACAAAACTCAGAAGTAAAATACCCAGATGTGTTTAATTGTCATGACAAAATAAAGCCTGTTCTATTTTATTTTTTATGCAATATATAATATTTGTAATAATACAATTTATTTATAAATTTTTCTTTTTTTTTGAACGTGGGGTTATTTATGACCATTTTTTCATGAAATTCACCCAGTAAGGTTGCTCCAAAGTCATGGTCATGAAATTAAGAAATATTTTAGTCTGTTTTATTTAGAAAATTGAAAAAAAAATGGTCCAAATATACACAAATGTGTTGATATACTGCATTCCAAAGTTTCGGGTAAGATGTTTTTTTTTTAATGAACCTATACTTTTATTCAGCAAGGATGCATTAATGTGACAAAAAGTGACAGTAAAGGCATTTATAATATTACAAAAGACTTCTATTTCAAATAAATGCTTACTGCATCACTGCTGATTCTATCACTGATTCCACAAACACATGAAGCAGCACAATTGTTTTCAATGTTGCTAATAATAAGAAATGTTTTCTGAGCATCAAGTCTGCATATTAGATTGATTTCTGAAGGATCACGCAACACTGAAGACTGGAATAATGGCTGCTGAAAATTCAGCTTTGCCATGACCGTAATAAACTACATTTGAAGATTTGAAGACATTTAGAATATATAGAAAACAGTTATTTTAACCTGTAATAGTATTTCACAATATTAGACAATAGGAAAAAACTTTCAAAACAGTAGGGTATGTAAGACATTTTGAAAAGAAAAAAAAACACTATATTTTACTTCAATATAACATTCTGCAAGACACAAACCACACACTCACTCCATCATCCTGTAACACACACATAGAAACCACAGACATGAACAAGGAACAAGAAGAGAAGGCCACTGACCTGGTGGTGACCTGCTGCTGGGATTGGGCATTGGGCAGGTCTTTCGCAGCTGAGCCTCCTTCTGTTGCCGGGGGCAACTCGGGAGATGTCTGGCTCAACTTAAGGTTTGCTGAAAAAGTGAGAAACCATTAGCCATAGAAAAGATGAAAGGAGTAGTTAAGAGAATGGAGAATAATTAACAACAATCATTGTCTCTTAGGTCTCACAGAGAGTAAAGTAGTGCTTCTGAGTTTGATACACAGCAGACTTTTGCTCACCAGCATTGTTGGGATAAGAGTCCATGTCTAGGTAAGAATGCTCCTGCATCTCCTGTGGACCCCCAACCACACCCCCCACTACCAG